GTAAATTTCTTCCTATCTTGACCTCCTTGTTGATATGTTTGGGACTGAAAGTCTCTACAAAAAATAAACAAACAAAAAAGAGAGAACTTTAACCAATTTTGACTGGAAAGAAAAAAGTGTTAAATAAACTAAAACTAGAAGTCAGAAGCTATACAGCCTAATTTTGATGGACAAAACCTAGATGTTGGAGAAAATGTGAAGGAAGTAAAAAAAGATGTTATAGGTAAGGAGAAGGTTGGAGTACTGGATGAAGAGATCAAGTACAAATGTAGCAAGCAATGTATGTGGTATTTTAGTTTAAAGACATAACAAATTATTTAGACTGAACTGCATATAGATTTCTAACCCTGCTTTAAGATTACTTTAGCGCCCAAACATTAGATAGATTCCCATGACTTAGGATTGTTTATCCATTTAAATGGATTTGTGGACTTGTTGGTAGCATTGGGGTGTTTTGCCTAAAAACCACAGTGAATCAGAACCCCACTCATAACCTCTAGATTTTCCCTTCCCAGTTATCTGAAGGAAATAAACAAGAAGACAGCTACACTCGTATCAGAAGGAAAAGTGTTTTATACCTTGAATACCATGCAAACAAAATTGGTGATAATCACAGAATTAGATATGACCCATGAAATAATGTGCCAGGAGGGCAAGAGTGACAATAATCCCAGGAAAGAATAATTTTTTATTTATATTAACATCTCTTTTCCATACCACGCTTATTCTAAACAAACAAAATGGTTCTAATGGAATATGTGCCCTGAAAGCATCAGCCATGTGAAATTCTTTACCATCATTTTATCAATGAGTAACAAACACCAACTTTTGCTTCTGATAGTAATTTTTTCAAGGCATAGATATTACTTACTGATCTTCAGAAAAAGGTTTTCCACTGAGCATATTTTTACCAAAAGGAGCATAGTTCCAAATGGTTTCTTTAATGCCTATGTAGTAGTGTCTATCTTTTGCCCAACCTAGAGAACTAATAAAAAACAGAAAGGTCAGTGGTAAAAAGGCCTTCATTTTTAAGTCCTGTGCCAGGAGAAGCTAGGCTTGCACACTTTTTATCACCCAGGCTTTCTTCTTCTGTTTGCCTATTCCTATTATATAAACCAGAGTTGCATAAGAGCTCATCATCTGTCTTCATCTACATTTATGTCATTTGTATTCTAAATGCATTCTTTTTTCCAATTCGGTTTTCATTGTCAGGCCAGGTGAAGTGTTGCACAACATACTGGCTAGATGGGTTGCCCAGATCATCCATCATCCTCTGACAGCTATTGCTTTTTATGAACTATATCTATTCCTAAATTATCAGAATAGTCTCCTGTCTTGTCTCCAGCCCCCATTTTATTACTGTTTTGGTCCATCTTACATACAATTCCTGGAATATTCTTCATTAAATGTTACTTTTATCAAGTTATTCCTGTAGATTATAATTTGAATTCTTTGTCATTTAAGACTTTCTTTAAATTATTCTCAAATTTCTTGACATTGAAGACTATCCATAATCTAGGCC